TACATTTAAGGGAGGCTGGGCTAAGTTCTGATGGGAACAGCTCGGTTAGGTGTATTACATGCGTTTTCCACCTCAATCTTCCCAATTTGTTTGGGTTTATTGAGACATAACGCCACTGTAAGTTGAGAAGCATCTGCAGTTCATATTCCATGAGGTTACTATGAAGACTCTGAGTAAATTAATATTTACAAATTACTTGGAAGAATGCCCAGCACGGAGTAAGCTCTATATTGTGTTTGTTAAATTAAATAATGATAAATCATATTCAGTGCTTACTATGTACAGAGACTGTTTTCCTGTGCACTTATTTAATCCTTAGAGCAATTGCTTAAAGAAATCAAGGAACAGAGATGTTAATTAATTTGCCCAAGGTCACACAGCTTGTAAATGGTACCATAGTTTGAATGTTTACACATGTGCATAAAGCGATGTCTTTTTACCTTCCTTTAATCAAATCCACTGGTCTCTCTACCTGGAAATTTTATACAAAGTTGTATGCATATAGCTAAGCCCATTGTGTTTTTATGAAGTCTTTTAAAAGATTTTCAGGGGTGTTTTGGCCACAGGAGATTTTGATCTCAAATATTGAACTTATGCCATAACAAACCTCCTTATAAGCTGCTCCTGTACTGTATATCAAAGAGACCAAGAAGAGAGAACCTGGTTGAAGTAAGAAAAGAGGAGGAAGGCCGGGCGCGCTGGCTCAAGCCTGTAATCCCAGCACTTTGGGAGGCCGAGGCGGGTGGATCACGAGGTCAAGAGATCGAGACCATCCTGGTCAACATGGTGAAACTCCGTCTCTACTAAAAATACAAAAAATCAGCTGGGCACGGTGGCGCGTGCCTGTAATCCCAGCTACTCAGGAGGCTGAGGCAGGAGAATTGCCTGAACCCAGGAGGCAGAGGTTGTGGTGAGCCGAGATTGCACCATTGCACTCCAGCCTGGGTAACAAGAGCGAAACTCCATCTCAAAAAAAAAAAAAAAAAAGAAAAGAGGAGGAAGAGGAAAACATCACTCTACCAGCTCAGCCTCCCCACCTCCTATCTTTGCAAGGTGCCTTGGGTAGGGTACCTCTGGTCATCTTCAAGGCCACTAAGGAACATAATTTGGCAACCAGTGCCCGGGCCATTTCTGAGTTCCACCACTTGCGGCATCTTGTGACTTGATGCTACTAGTTATGGTAGGCACTTACCAAGTGCCCAGCCACTTTCCTAGGCCCTTTATAGACTCACTCCTTTTATCCCAACAATAACCCTCTGGGACAGGCACTATCGTTATCCCTGGTTTACAGATAAGGACATCTTAGAACAGAGAGGTTAAGTGACTTGCTTAGGAAGTTAAGGGACAGCTAAAAAGGATTAAGCTGGGAAGCAAACTCAGTCTGACTCCAGAGTCCCTTCTCTTCACCTTCCGGCCGTGCCACCTCTGACCTTGGCTGTTGCTGGTCCCTCGAGTCCCTGGGAACACTGGGGGGGCTGTGTGTTTCCAAGGAAACAAAGCTTCCAATTCCTAAGAATATAGGAAAGAGGCTGGGGCATGGTGGCTTGTGCCTGTAATCCCAGTACTTTGGGAGGCCAAGGCAGGAGGATTGCTTGAGTGCAGGGGTTCAAAACCAGCCTGGGCAACATAGTAAGGCCCTGTCTCTATAAAAAAAAAATCATTTAAAAAAATTTAGCCAAACATGGTATAGTCTCGGCTACACAGGACACTGAGGTGGGAGGCTTGCTTGAGCCCAGGCGATCATGCTACTGCACTCTGGCCTGGGTGACAATGTGAGGCTCTGTCTCAAAAAAAATAATAAAATAAATAAATGGGAAAGGACAGGTGAAGCAGGTGAAATCTCTTTAGAATCCCAAGTAGAACTCTACGCAACAGGGGTTTTCCTCTCTTAGGAAGCTGCCAGACCTCCCTCCAGTGTGGGAGCTGCGCCAAGGACTGTGTGGCTGCGGGGATGCTGGCTGGAAGCACAGTCATTCAGAGACCCAGCCTGGCTTCTCACTTGCCCAGGTCATTAATATTCCCTCTCTCCAGCCCCACTCTGTTTAATTGTGCACAGAGCTGTCAGGTCAGACTCTGCCAGAGCTGTGGCCTATGGGAAAAACCAGAGGCCCTATTTTTCCCCAGCAGCACTCCTCACAGCCAGGGGAGGGGCTGCAGCCTCCAGGCTGCCACTTACCATATTCCCCAGGCTAGCAGACAAACTGCAGATATACCAGAAACACTTTTGTTTCACAGGGAGTCTTCCGGGAAAAAGTATTTTTAAGTATTTATTATTCTTACATTGAAGGTAGCTTTTATGTCAGATTGTAGGGGCAGATGTACTATTTGTGTAAAAACTGTATGCTGTATTATTATTATTATTATTATTATTATTTTTTGAGACGGAGTTTTGCTCTTGTTACCCAGGCTGGAGTGGAGTGCAATGCTGCGATCTCGGCTCACTGCAACCTCCGCCTCCCGGGTTCAGGCAATTCTCCTGCCTCAGCCTCCTGAGTAGCTGGGACTATAGGCGCGCGCCACCGTGCCCAGCTAATTTTTTGTATTTTTAGTAGAGACGGAGTTTCACCATGTTGACCAGGATGGTCTCGATCTCTTGACCTTGTGATCCACCCGCCTTGGCCTCCCAAAGTGCTGGGATTACAGGCGTGAGCCACTGTGCCCAGCTATTATTATTATTTGAGATGGAGTCTCATTCACTGTCACCCAGGCTGGAGTGCAGTAGCACCATCTCAGCTCACTGCAACTTCCACTTACCTGGTTCAAGAGATTCTCCTGCCTCAGCCTCCCTCTGCCTCCCAAGTAGCTGGGATTATAGGCATGCACCACCACACCCAGCTAATTTTTGTATTTTTTTTTTTTTTTTTTAGTAGAGACAGGGTTTCACCATGTTGGCCAGGCTTATCCTGAACTCCTGACCTCAAGTGACCTGCCCACCTCAGCTTCCAAAATGCTGGGATTACAGGTGTGAGCCATAGTGCCGGCCCTGTATGTGGTCTCCTAGAATTGATTATGATTTTAAGTTCTGAGTAAGCAGGGACTTTTCTATTAAAAGTAAATATATATGGAGTTTCTTTGGTACTGGGTTGATAAAAGGGTTATGGTAGCAATACACTGGATTCTGAATGTTAACAAACTAACCCATCCCTGCCCTAGATCAGCTCCAAAACCTACAGCTTTGTTGTAGCTCTAAGCAAAGGTAGCTTTATTGTGATCTTACTGCATGATTCCACCAGGGGGTAGCATTGAGCATAATTTGACATCCAGCGTTGCCGCTTTGTCATTATAATGGTGTGTTGGGTCAGTTATTTAAGGACGCATTTGATGGTGAGAGGACAGAGGTGTGGAAGAGTATACATGTTATATACTGGTAAATAGGGTAACTTCTGGAGAAGTCAGCAGAGAGAGCACCCAAATAATTCTGCAATACTCACAGGGGAGTAGAGTCTCCAGGAACTTACCTACCCGTCTCTGCCCTGCTGGACTGGAGTCAGCACTGGGCATTGCTCTTTAATTAAGAGGCAAGGTGACAGACTCGTGTGTCCAGAGGAAGTCGCTGATTCGCAGGGAGCTTTGCAGAATCACATCAGCTATGGAGGTAGATGGGTATCTCGGGCACTACTTTTAGGGACCTTGGGCAAGTCACAGAACCTTTTTCAGGCTCAGGTTCCTCCTCAGTAAAACAGAGACCAATAATATTTACCTTTCAGGATGGTTGGGAAGAGTCAAGGAGCTAATGCCTGTGGGTGCCTGGTCCCCTGTAAAGCCTCAATAATGGTTATTCTTATGACAATAAATAATTATGCACCGCTAATATTTGTATTAGTATCATTGTAATAATTGTCTTTATTACTATTCATATCTATACACACATATGTATGTATGTATATATATATTTTGCTTTTGAGACAGAGTTTCTGTTGCCCAGGCTGGAGTGCAGTGGCATGATCTTGGCTCACTGCAACCTCTGCCTCCCAGGTTCAAGTGATTCTCATGCCTTAGCCTCCTTAGTAGCTGGGATTACAGGTGCAAATGTAAGTTTTATATTTTTAGTAGAGATGGGATTTTTCCATGTTGGCTGACTGGTCTCGACCTCCTGGCCTCAAGTGATCCGCCTACCTCAGCCTCCCAAAGTGTTGGGATTACAGGAATATGAATATCTTTATTATTGATAATTACATTGATTGTGTTGCACTTGATGTATATCTGACCCATTTTTTTTTTTTTTTTTTTTTTTTTTTTTTTTTGAGACGGAGTTTCACTCGTTACCCAGGCTGGAGTGCAATGGCGCGATCTCGGGTCACCACAACCTCCACCTCCCGGGTTCAGGCAATTCTCCTGCCTCAGCCTCCTGAGTAGCTGGGATTACAGGCACGCGCCACCATGCCCAGCTAATTTTTTGTATTTTTAGTAGAGACGGGGTTTCACCAAGTTGACCAGGATGGTCTCGATCTCTTGACCTCGTGATCCACCCGCCTCGGCCTCCCAAAGTGCTGGGATTACAGGCTCGAGCCACCGCGCCTGGCCTGACCCATGTTTTATATATGATATATAGTAAATCTTGTATATATATTTCATACATATTAATATATTATTAAATAATTATAAAAATAATGAATATTTTATATAACTAACTATTACTATTTGGGTAATTAATAACCTTCATTGGAGGGATGAAAAGTTTTACTACTGAGGGTCTGATTTGATTTCTCTCTTACACTTAAATTGGAGCTTAGGGGTGCTAGAACTAAATGGATTATTGGGGACCCAGGGGTTTGGGTCCCTGGCCTGTATGGGATAGAGCAGAGAGAAGTTCAAGAAGCGGAGAGGCTGCTGGCTCAGATGTGCAACCTTGGCTCAAATGTGTGACATTGAACACATCCCTTGCCCTCTCTGCACCTCAGTCTCCCCTTCTGGGAAGCGGTACGGTTGTCACTGTTATGATCTATCCTAATCTTCCCTGGGGATGGGCTGAATATGATGGGATGCCTTTCCCTCCACAGGAATCAGGGCTGTCTGTGTGGATTGGCGGGCAGCTGCACCCCCTGGAGACTGTGCCCCCCGCACTGGCTGTGCTGCTTGTCACCGTGGTCATCGCCTTCTTCACTGAGTTTGCCAGCAACACGGCCACCATCATCATCTTCCTGCCTGTCTTGGCAGAGCTGGTGAGGGTCCCTCTGGGGAAGAGGGGAGCACCCCTCCCCCAACACCCATTCGGAAATCTTCCCCCTGCCAAGGGGCCTTCACTGGGGCTGCAGTTGCCATTGCTCTCCCCAAAAGCCACAAAGGTGTCAGGACCACAGTACAATTTTGAAAAATACTGGATGTTTTCCTTCAAAAGGTGCATACATAGGGTAAATATTTTCAAAGCGTTCCCAATTCGCTCTTTGGGGAAGATTTTACCCAAGGTGACACGGAGAGTTTTCTAGAACAGGTAAATTACCAAATTTGGATTAAGAAGAAGTAGAAAATCTGAGTAAACAAATGGCCATGGGAGAAATCCTAGTGGTAAAAGCAAAGCAGTAGCCTCCCTCTAAAGCAGGGGTTTCAGCACTATTGGTATTTGGGGCTGGAGCATGCTCTGTGTGGGGCTGTCCCATCCACTACAGGGTGTGTCATGGCATCCCTGGGCTCTCTTCACTAGAGACTAGTGGCACTTGCCTAAATCATGACAATCCAAAAGTCCCTAAGCATTGTGAAATATCCCCTGTTGGGTGGACAAATCCTTCCCCCCCAACCCAGTTGATACCTGATGGGTGAAAAATCACCAGCCCCAGGCCGAGCTCTGTGGCTCATGCCCATGATCCCAGCACTTTTGGAGACTGAAGCAGGCAGATTGCTTGAGCTCAGGAGTTCCAAACTAGCCTGGGCAACATGGTGAGACCACATGTCTGCAAAAAATACAAAAATTAGTCGGACTTGGTGGCAGGTGCCTGGGCAACAGAGCCAGATCCTGTCTCAGCACAAAAAACAAAAACAAAATCAGCAGCCCCAGGTTATTTGCTAGGTGAGAGCTCAAAAACTAGCAAGGAACAGATAGTTCCCAACTCACCCAAGCTGTTCACCAGCATAGAAAAATAGACATGGCCACTCAATTTATAACTAGCAAACCTTGGCCCCAAAACCAGATGAGGAGAGCAAGGGAAGGGAAAACTATAATCCAGCCTCACCTGCAAAGAGATGCAAGTAGCGAAATGAACCCATGGGTGTGTGAAAAGAACAATATATACATGATCAGGCGGCTTTTATACTAGGAGTTTTAAAAAGGAAACTATCAATATAGTTTTATATTTAAACAGATTAAAGACCCGACCATATAATTACCTTAATATAACCCAGCTGATAAAATTAAATCAATGTTGCAAGTAAATGCTTTGTAAGCAAACGGTCATGCCCCAGCACACTTCCCTGTAAAACCTCGTCTTGGGTTTTGTTTGCTTATTTTATGCGTCAACGTATCTGTTTTCGCACACAGAAGTACACTGTGTTATTTTTCAATGACTGGAGAATAGGCCATTATAAATGGACAGTTGGTGGTTTATTTAAGCAGTCTCTCTGCCCAGTGGAAATATAGGTATCTCCGAACTTTGCTGTTATTCAACAACAGTATGTCACGGAGCCTTGTCTGTGCATCATTAATTACATCTAGGGAAGTTCCTATAACTGACATTCCTGGGTCAAAGAGCATGTGCATTTAAAATGTGATTGGATATGAGGAAATTGTCCTCCAAAGTGGCTCACCATTTTACAGCGGTGGGAGTATGAGGTGGGAGTCCTCAGGGAGACCTGGCAACTGAGAGAAATGGGAGTGCTATGGACGGTCTAGGGGAGAAGAGAGAGTGTAGAACCCAGCCAGTCTGTAAGGGGCAGCTTTCACTGGAAAAGACACTTGCAAATGACACATTCTTTAAACTTTGCTTATCATCAAAATCAAAAAACATTTTACACCTAAGGGGGTGATTTTTGAGAAAATAAATATGCTTTGGGTTGCAAAAATTCCCCAGAAGGGCCAAAAACGTCCTATGTAAGTAAAATGCCAGAGAAGTGATCTTTTCCCTTGCTCTCCTTATCTGGCTTTGGGGGCCAGGGTGGCAAACTGGTGGCCCACTAACTGAGGCCAGCCCACAGGTGGGTCTGAGACACACGGTCTTAGAAATTTGGGAGGGCTGCCAACAGATGCTCTCGTGAGCTCTCTTTCTCACTGAAACCCAGGAATGCATGCCCCCAACGAGAGGGATCCAGAGGCCAACTCTGCTGAGATTGTTTGGCTGAGGGAAGGAGCAGATGAAGTGTTTTAAAGGCCTGGTTCTCAGTGTAGAGTCCTTAGACCAGCAGCACCCCAGCACTGGGGGAGCATGTCAGCAATGCAGGTTCTTGGGTCCCACCCAGACCTGCTGAATCAGCAGTTCTGGGTGAGGCGGAGCCAGCTGTGTGGGCTTTAACCAGCCTTCCAGGTGCTTTTCTGCACTCTGACATGGAGAAGGAGCATTCTAGGACCATCACCCCAGCCCATCTTTGATCAAACCCCAGTGTGGCCCTTGAATGTCACTAACCCTGGGAATGTTCTCTCCACCCCTTTTGATCTGGTTCTCTTCTTACCTGCTTATGTCTGTTTCTGCCTGCGCATGCATCGTTCTGACTGCGTTTCTCTCTCTGTCTAATTCTCTCTTCACTTGTCCCTGTTGTTCTCCGCCACGCTGCGAATCTCTATGGATGTCTTTGTCTCTCTGTCTCTACGTCTTTGTGTCCCTCTTTCCAACTGCCCCCCGCCCTCTCCCCGTGGTTGCTCTGCATTGGTCTCTCTCCTGGTCTCCCCCATCTCTCTTGGGCCCAGGCCGTCCGCCTGAGAGTGCACCCCCTGTATCTGATGATTCCGGGCACAGTCGGCTGCTCCTTTGCCTTCATGCTCCCAGTCTCGACGCCCCCCAACTCCATCGCCTTCGCCTCTGGACACTTGCTGGTCAAAGACATGGTGAGTCTGGGCATTTCCCAGCAGGGGCTCTGGGAGATGGGTGGGCAGCAGGTGGCAGGCAAGGCCTCTCTGCAGGACTCTGACACCCCGACCCCACTCCCCAGTCTCTGAATAGGTCTTTCTGAGGGGGACCAGGAGCACACATTTTAGCAGAGACTCTGGGATGATTCTCTCCCTTAGACAACTTCAGGAAACCCTACCTCAGGGACTACTTTCCAAAATTTGCTGCAGGGATAAGGGGGTTCCCCCTCCCTCTGGACCCTACTTCATGCCCAGAATCTTTAGAAGAGAGAAGCAGCAAATACACCCTGGAACTCAGGGATGGGCCTCGGTGTCCAGCCAGCTAAGGAGAAAGAAGCTGAGGACCGTAGCAGTGGGAGGACCCCAGCAGCTTTCAGCAGGGCCCAGCCATTGGCAATGTGTTCCCTCTCCCGGAAGCGCCCTGCCGAGCCAGCTCCTCCCTCCCTGCTTCTGACTCCCTGCAGTCTCTTCCCTCTCCCCTGCCTTTGCAAATAACCCTTCTTCTTCTATAAAATGGGGACTATTAAGAATAACCTTGGCAAGTTTGCTTTCTGGGTTAAATATAACCCTATGACAACCACGCAGTGCCTGGAACCTAGAGGCCATCAATGAATGAGGACATTTGCAGCTCTTTGAGTGACAGTCTAAGGTAGTGTAAAGATTGAAGGGTCCCAGGCATTGACCGACCTGGGTCTGTGTCCTGGGTCTATCACTTTCTGGCTGTGCAATCTCGGGTGAGTGACTTCCTGTCTCTGAATCTGAATGTTCCCATCTGTATGGTGGGTCAGGTGTTGACCCCTCCCTCTGTCTGGGCTCTATTTCAGGTGCGGACAGGTCTCTTGATGAACCTGATGGGCGTCCTGCTGCTCAGTTTGGCCATGAATACCTGGGCACAGACCATCTTCCAGCTGGGCACCTTCCCGGACTGGGCTGATATGCACTCGGTCAATGTCACAGCATCGCCACCCATCTTGGCCAACGACACATTTCGGACCCTCTGAGTCCCCCTGGGGAACTCCTTGAGGCTGAACCCTCTCAAAGGGCTGTCACCATCACCTGCTGCTAGGACTCTACAAAGCAATCAAATAATTATTTCCCATAATCCAATATGCAGCAAGCAAGGGTGACCTCCAGTGGTCCACTCAGGTCCACAGCCATTATCTAGAACATTTTTCTCTCTCTCATGCAGTTCAAGGCCCAGATATCTCTCAGATCTGCTTCCTGAGAAACAAGCTCCTTTATCAGTGAGCTGTTTTATCATTAGGATGCAAGAGAGCCCAGTTTCATCAACAATGACCAAATCTGGCATGGAGTCTGTCTCATACAGTTGGGATTGGAGGCCATTCATTCCCATGGGCACAGCTAACATTATCCCCCAGTGACTACTTTCTGTTACACTGGAAAGACCACCTTGTCTTTAAAGATCACTTTCCTGGGCTGCAATGTTCCAGTCCAGTTGTTCCAGCTGTTCACAACTAGTGTGTGTTTTTGCCTAGTTGGTGCCCATTCTGCACCCGTTGTTTTACCCCTGCTGATACCCAGAAGTCAGAGATTCTTTTTTAATCCTTGGAGACAGGGAAAGGGACAGATGGCTTTCTGAGGACATGAGGCTGTGCAAAAACCCTCTTTGCTGTTTCTCTGGGCTCCTGAGCACACCAGGGAAAGTTCTAGAAACCCCAGATGACATCTCTACCCAAGAGATTTAGGATTCTCCTGTTTCATCTGGGCCAGTTTGGCCATAATTCTGGGGTCAGGCCAGGCCAGGGTCCTACCCTCCCATGGGGAGACCTATGACCCCTCCAGCCAAGACCTTCTTGCATGTGGCCTCCCAGGGGCGTCTGTGGCTGCAGGGTGGTCAGCTGCTTCTTGTCCCATTAAGTGACCTTGAGCTCCCCATGTCCCACCTTAAGTAGTAAGCATGTTTAATTATCAAAAGCCACATTTGTCAGAGGTGAGAGAAAAGTCAAAAGATAAATTGGGGCCTTGTAAAAGGCCAGGGTAAAATGTCTCAGGCAAGCAAAAGATAAAACATCCCCATGAGCCCGAGGCTGGAAGTGCTGTCTGCACTTAAAGATTTACTCCCTCTTTGTTCCAAGCAGAAGCATTCTGGCATCCCAGTGAAGAGCGCAGGCCCTCAGGAAGTGTCTGCTGAATGGAATGGCCCAGTGTTAGCCCAGTATCAGAAAAAGCACCAGCCCAGGGGCCTTGAACTGTCACACTTCCCCTTCCTAAGCCTCTGAGGGTGGAGATTCCCCTGGGAGCACTTGGCCAGCTGGGAAGGCAGCACCCAGGTTCACTCTTGATACAGCACAAGTGAGTCATGGGCATTTCCCTGAGAGCAGTGGGAGAGACCGTCTGAGTTGGAGGTTGAGCTCCACCTCCTTTCCAAGTGAGCACTCAGTGTCGAATCACAGTTACAACCCACTGGGGCTGTGGGGAGGTGGGCTTGTATGGGACTGGAGGCAAAAGGTTCATTCAAAGAGAAGCCCACGGGATTTGTAACCAGATGAATCATGATTTCAAAGACTTCTGATCAAAAATACTGTGAAATAAAGAATGTTAATCAACATTGGACCTGGAGATGATTGCCTTTCTGAACGTAAGGGAGCGTCAAATCCCAAATCCCTGGGCTGCGAATTCCGCGGAATTGACCTCTTTGACTTCATTTTCTCATGCTCTCCCCTACATACTCAAACTCTCCTGCCTCAGGGCCTTTACACGTGCTGTTCACTCTGCCTAGAACACTCTGCTCCCAAATATATGCCTGGTTCCCCCACTCAACTTTATTCAGGTCCCCGCTCAGGTGTCACCTCCTCCGTGAGGCTTCCCTGACCTGTCTAAAATATCACCCTCATTACTCTCCACCCCCTTACTCTGCTATATTTTTTTCTTAATACTTAGGACACTATATAACTCATTTTCTTATGATCTTCCTTTCCTTCTAGAATATACATTTATGAAAATACAAATTTTTTTTTTACTGCTGTAACTCCAGTTCCTAGAACAATTTCTGGCACATAGCAAGTGTTCAGTAAATATTTGCTGCTTGAATCTGCACCAGAATTAATGAGAAAGCCATCTCTCCCCTCTGGGGTCTGTTTTGTTTGTTACTTTGTTCACTCATTCTTCCATTTATTCATCCAATAAACATTTATTGGGAACCTGTCGTGTTCTGGTTCATTGTCCCGCTCACATGGAACTTACACGCTGGCGGGGGAGACAAGGCAATAGGAAGATAAACAAATAAATAAAATGAGTCTGGGTCATGATGCCGGCTAAGAAAATGAAACTGACCAAGATGGTAAGCTGATTCAGAGGCTACTTTAGCCAGAGTGATTGGGGAGGACTTCTCTGAGGAGGTGGCATTGGATTGAGACCTGAAGGAGTCAGCTCATGGAAATGTGGGAGGAAGGGAGAGAAGGTGGGGGAGATGGGGAGTCTCTGGGGAGAACATTCCAGGCAGGGGAGCAGATTGCTTCACTTAGCTGGATGCTCTGAGCTGGAATTTTGTGGAGTTTAGAAATCTATATTCTGCCTCTTCTGACTGGTTGCCAACTCTCTCTGCAGCTTTCCTGAGAAGGCATCCTAAGTTGCTCTGACTGGATGTTACTCAGTCCTTGAAGCCATTCTTAGCATAAAAGAAGATCCATGGGCAGAAGGCAGCAGCACCATTGCGGTGTGCTCATGGCGGCACAGGAGAGAGGAGATGGCAGGGGTGGTGCAGACTCATTGGAATACACCAGGGGCTCATGTCCAGAAGATATGAGGAGCGCTCCAACTCAGAAACAACCAGGCAAACAAATGTTTTTGTTATCTGTGGCTCCATAACAGACCATCCCCACACTTAAAACTTTGAAACACAGCAATTTCTTGGCTCATGTTTCTGCATTTGGACAGAGCTCTGCAGGATTGCCATTATCTTTGCCTCATGAGTTGGGAGTTTTGCTAGGGCTGGAAGGTCTGCAATGGCTGCTGACAGGATCTCTCCTCACATGGCTTCTCCAGGAGTCTCTTCACATGGCTTCTCCCGGAGTCTGTTTTGGACCTCATTACGTGAGAGTGGCCTTCAAGGAGGACAAAAGCTGAAACTATAAGGCCTCTAAGCCCAGGATGTGGAAGTCTAGGCACATCAATTCTGTCAAATTCTATTGGTCAAAGTAGCCCACAGGTCTGGCCTGGTCCAAGTGGAGGGAAATAGACTCCAGCCCTTGACGGCAGGGGCAGCGTCCACCAGGGAGGTGAGGGACAGTGGGCTGCCATGTCTGGAAGCCATCTACCATAGCCCCAAGAGCAAAGTGGACAAAAGGTCCACTTTGAAATGTCATCCTGAAAAGGGATGTCTACATGGCCGACAGGGTTATGAGGAGATACCCAAACCTATGTGTTTATAATTTGCAGGGAAACGCAAATTAAAATAAAATTCAACAACATGCCAATCAGACTGGCAGAAACGAGAAAAGTGGACAATAAGTCCTGGTGGGATGTAAGGAAACAGAAACCTTGTCAGCCTGGCCGGCAACGTGGCAGTCATTAGGGGTATTCATTATCTGTGTTTCCTAGGTCCTAGAAAACTACCCATGGGATCTAAGGAGACAGTGTCAAAGGCTATTTATACCACTGTTGTTTGAGGACACCGAGGTGACCATCGCTGGGGGAGTATTTAAATAAAATATAGAGGAAATACGCTAAAAAAACAACAAAACACAGGAACACAGAGTGACAGGTTGGACATATTCCAGTATGGGTGTCAAACAGGTACAGAGTTAGGTAGGTGGAGAAATGGAGGTGGTGATGCTAGGTGTAAAACAGAGATGAAAGTCATTAAACAAGGAGCTCAATAAGCCTCATTGGAATCCTGGTGCCCAGGGTGGTCTCGAACTCTGGCCTCAAGCAGTCCTCCTGCTTTTGCCTTCCAAAGCGCTGGGATTATAGGCACAAGCCACTGCACCTGGCCTACTATTTCGGATTTTGATTTTTTTCATCTGAGAAATGAGAGCATGTGGTGGGGTCTCAGAAATAGAAAGCATCTAAACTAGCTAATTCATGGAGAGTTTAGTAAAGGGTCAAGTTACAAGGTGAGCAGAGAGCAGGGGGACCACAGGAAAAGTGTGGGACCCCAGTGCTAAGAAATCAGGAAGCGAGGAGTGAGGAGTACCTTCCAGCCTAAGGCCTCAAGGGAGCGAGCTCCCTGATGGAATCTGGGTCCAGGGACACAGCTGGCTCTTGGCGACTGTAGGAAGGGTGGGCTCTTCTTCTCCTCCATCCCTCAGCTCTCCTGCTGGGGAGTCAGGGCTCTCTAGAGAAACCAACCAGCAGCAGGGTGGGTGTGTGTGTGTGTGTGTGTGTGTGTGTGTGCGCGCGCGCACGTGCGTCTTATCAAGAGAGAAGGAGAAAGATTTCTTTTAGGAATTGACTCACACCATTGTGGAGGCTTAGAGTCCAAAATCAAATGGGGAGGCCAGTAGGCTGGAAAGCCAAAAAAGTGCTGCCGTTGGAACCTGAAGGCCGTCTGCCGCAGAGCGCCCTCTTGTTCAGGGAGGGTCAGTCTGTTGCAGTATTCAGGCCTCCCGATGATAGAAGAGACCCACTCACATTCTGGAGGGTGATCCGCCCTACTCAAAGCCCACTTATTTAAATATTCATCTCATCCCGAAGCATACTTACAGAAACAGCAAGGGTGATGCATAACTAAATCTCTGAGCACCATGGCCAGCCAAGTTGACTCATGAAATTTTATGTGTTGCACCAACGGAGCCCGAATGCAAGGGGGGCTTTGATGCAGCCCATCCAGGTCCACCTCCTAGGTGTGGGGCAGGGAGGAGGAGCATGGGAGGAGCCTGGAGAAACCAGCTTTGAGAAGAGTATGGCACAAAGGATGGACGCCACATCAGAGCTTGCAATCTGGTGCCAGCCCTGAGCCAGGTTTTGTTTGTTTTCTCCCTGATGAGTTTTTTAAATGTTTATTTATGCATTTATTTATTTTAAGACAGGGTCTCGCTCTGTGGCCCAGGCTGGAGTGTAGTGGCCTGGTGTGATCTCAGCTCACTGCAACCTCCATGTCCCAGGCTCAGGTGATCCTCCCACGTCAGCCTCTGGAGTGCACACCATCACACCCACCTAATTTTTCTATTTTTAGTAGAGACGGTTTCTCCATGTTGCACAGGCTGGTCTTGGACTCCTGAGCCTCAAGTGATCCACCCACCTCAACCTCCAAGTGCCCAGGTTATAGGCGTGAGCCACAGTGCCTGCCTCTGATGAATTTTAAATTATTATTTGCTTGTCTTTAAAATTCAGGAGATTTCACATAAAAATCTAGATTTCCGCTTCTCCTGGAAAGGAAAATACCAGATCTATCTAGCAAATACGAGACTTCATCGGCACACAGCAACAATTGCTTGGAGCTGAATAGTTTGTGGAGGAAACCTTAAGTTGGAACATAAACATTCATTAGCCTCAGTCCCCACCACTCTTTAATGTCTTACACTGACTCTCCTCTTTCAACTCTGTCACTTTCCTGGCCTGTGAAGGCATTTGAACCTATGGCACCTAAATTGCATGATCTGGGAGGTCCATTTCAGCCTTAGTGGTCAAGGGTTCTAATGGCCTAGAGCAGCCCTGCCCACTGAACTTTCTGGATGATGGAAATGGACTAGAGCCTTCCTGTGCAACACAACAGACACTAGCTATGTGTGGCCGTTGAACATTTGTAATGCGGCTAGTTCAAATTGAGATTTGTCATAAGTAGAAACATGTAGTATGAGAAAACGAATGTAAAATAGCCTGTCAATTTTTATATCATTTACACGTTGAAAGGATATTTTTGATATGTTACATTGACTAAAATATTTTATTAAAATTAATTTCAGTTTTTAAAAGTTCAATTTTTTAAATTTAAAAAAAATTTATATATCAACTTGGCTGGGCTATAGCGCCCAGATATTTGGTCGAGCATTATTCTGGATATTTCTGTGAACTAACATTGAAATCGGCAGGCTTTGAGCAGGGTTACTAGAAGAGTTTAAATGATGCATACAGTTTGAGTTGGCGGCTCACACACGGTTGCTACTGGACAGCACCAGCCTTATAGGAAGATTGTGGCTGCTTCTCTGTTTCTCAAACCATCTGGACAGTGGCAACATTGAAGAAGCCTGAAGAATTCAACGACTCTAATAGTCTATGCAACTGGGCGCAGTAGCTCACGCCTGTAATCCTAGCACTTTGGGAGGCCAAGGTGGGCAGACTGCTTGAGCCCAGGAGTTTGAGACCAGCCTGTGCAACATGGCAAAACCCCATCTCTACTGAAAATAATATTCTATGAATCTCTGATTCTGATCCCAGAGCAGGCTCTTCAGGAAGATCTGAAGGCTTACCTCTTCCTCTTCCTCTTCTGTCTTATGGCTCTGAATCCTCCACCCACAAATTCCCCTCAATGAAGCTGATTCTATTTTGGATGATTCAGAAGCCCTTCCGGATGTTGTGGGCCTTGAGGTCAGGCCAGCCTTATATAGACAGAGGTAACTGCCTACATGTACTGAGAAAAGCCAAAAATAGCTTTTGCCCATTCACT